GCTGCTCAAAAAACACCCCAGGATTGGTGATGAGAGCGAGGAAGAGAGAGAAAAGCAGAGCAGGTGAGGCCAAGCCCCTCTTTTCAGTTCCTGTTACCTGAGGAAGTTGGGAAAGCAATTAGCAGCTGGTGAGCGAGCGAGGGGTCATGGTCACATCAGAGCTAACATTCCTCTTCCCGTTTCAGTTCTATTTTTCTCTGATTGAATTTATAGGTTAGTTAAGATCTGTGCCATAAAGCATTTGCTATCTTATATCTCAAAAAATTACCTTGGGGCTTCCCATGGTGGCTCAGTGGTTGAGCGCTAGGCTGGGAAGCTGCCCGCAGCCTCTGCAGCACCTGTTCGATCCCCAGGCCCCCAGGGGAGGGTCCCACATGGCACGCAGACCTCTCCTGCTGCCCGCTGCTCCCCTCAGCAGTGTGTTTCGTCAGTCTGCCTGTTCTGTTCCCCACTCTGGCTCTGGGGAATTCTCTCACCCTCCCGCGCTGCTGACTGTACCCAGTGCTTGTACAATAAATAAATAAATCTTTAAAAAAATAAATAAATAAAATGTATTGGAATAAAGTTTTTAAAAAAAATTACCTTGGATGCCATAATCTTATATTGAGCAAATATGTGTACTTATGCGATTGGCTAGCAATGAAATAAAAATCAGCATTAAAAAACCTATTTCCTGGCATTAAAGGACTCCGCATTAATCCAAAAATATTGAGTTGCCTGATTTTCCTTTTAAATTCTTCTGCTGATGCTTTATTATTCCAGGAATATACCAGAGTGAGCTTATTTTAACCTGAAACCTAAATTATATTTCTCTTAAAACATGTCAGAATACTACACAAGTTACAAAAACCACCTCTTGTAAAAAAAAAAAAAAAAGTCCCTGAGAGTGGAGTTTACTAAATTTTGTGGCACATTTTATTTGTTTGCTTTATTTTTAGGCCTATTTTGCCACTCTTCTACTTCAAGCTTGAATTATTAGTATACTTCTCAAAATAATTTAAGCAAATGAAAAAATATTCCTCATACTGTGAAAACAAATATCCCAAAATATCTTCTCTGGACATATTGTTCATCTCTGAATACTTAACTATAACATACACAAGTACAAGACTGGTAATTTTCAATCATTTCTAATTTGATTTGTAAAACGTGGAGTTTTTCTATTTTTGAAAAATTGTTTAAAATGTGTCCTCAGGAAAACAAGCCTTTCTCTTCAGGGTTACATATAAAGGACCTTCTTTGACATCTTCTCTCCTGGAAGGGTAACAGGCAGCCCTGCCTTCATTCCTCTAAACAAGGTAATGATGGTTTGTGTAAGAAGTCTAAATCTGGCCCCAGGCGATGCAGTGATTTTCCAGATCCAGGCAAAGGGAGCAGGAGCTCTGAAGCTAAGAGGCGAGCGCCTGCAGCTGCAGCCCTGGGAGAAGTCTGCCATCTTGTGGCAGATGGGGCTCAAGGACAATCACTCACAATAGGAGTCTGGTGTTTGGGCCACAGAGACCACCTTCCACTTCAGAGGTAGTATTTATAAGCCCAGGCTGCACCCTGTCCTTCTGACCAACTGGCTGTAGAAATCAGGAGAGGTTCCTGGGCCTTCTCCTTAGTTTAATTAATAGAACTCAGAAAGCCGATTGCCTCACTAGATCACCAATTTATTACAATAAGTTTTCAGAAACAGTTTGGGAGAGATGCATCAGCTCTGAGGGAAGGGTAAGGAGTTTCTATTCCCTTCCTAGGCACACAATTCTCCCCCAAATTCTCTTCACATATCCACCAACCCAGAAGCTCCCCAAAGTTCCTCCTTTTGGATTTTTATGGAGGCTTCATTACTTAGGCATGATTGACTAAATTATTGGCCATTGGCAATTGGCCCGTGGTCAAATTTCACTCCACCTCCAGGCCTCTGCCCTCCCCAGAGATCTGGAGGGTGTATCTGAAGTTCCAAGCCTCTAATCACATGGTTGATTCTCCTGACAATCAACCTCCCAAAAGTTCATTCACATAAAACTGTTTAGAATAACAAGACATCATTATAACTCTCAACACTAAGGAAATCCCAAGTTTTGGGGGATCTGTGAGCCAGGAACTGTGGAATGAGAACCAGAAATATATGAGAAATGTGCTTTAGTCACCTGCATAATCAAATACAGATATACGTATGTATATATTTATATATATTTATAAGTCACAATATCACACCCCTTAGCAATGATTGGTGGGACATGACCAGTGTCCAAAGGCACCAAGACCCCAGCTCACTGCCATATCTAGGTGATGTAGGATTTCCAGTTGGATTTAAGTTGATTTAAAGAAAAATTTTAAATGTCATTTTTTTGCAGGTCCCAAATGTGTTATAGGGCAACTGCGAGTCCTGCCGACCTAGTGTGCTTTATGGCGACCAACGCAAGAAAAATTACTTTGGGCTGGTCAACCACGGGTGAAGCTTGGAAACCACGTTGGGTGCAAAACTGTTATAGGGCAACCCCAATATAAAACGGGTTGTCTGGCTGTGGGTCCTCACCCGAGCACTTAAAAGGGACTTATTAATACTCCACTACAGGCACACACAAAAGGTTAATAAAATGTTTGTTTACAAGGGAAAGGGAATTAAGGAAATGTACAACTTAGGGAGAAAATAGGGAAATAAAGTCTTAAATGCATCCTACCCTGGAAATCCAAAGGCACTCTCAGAGCTGGCCTGAATGCTGCAAGCTGGTGGAGAGCCAAAATGGGGGACCCCTCCAAAGCCCACGTGTCTGGCTTTATACCAAACCTGGCTGCTTAACCCCACCCTCAGGTCCCAGCCACCTTCCCTTTGGTGGTGATGGGATTTGGAGTTCCCAGTGTCTTTTGGCTTTGGTCTGGAGTGGGGGGTGGAGTCTACAAAGCCTGTATGGAATTAGCTTTAGGACATCCTTTTCCCCCTAACAATTGCACTGATTTTCATGTGGGAACCTCCTTGGAGATGGAGTGCTGTTTATCTGCAAGTGACACGGATTATAGTTTCTGGAATTTAGGCTAATCCTTCTGAACCCCTAGTTGTGACTGTGCTGGAGAAGGTGTGTGAAAAAGACAAGTGGAAACTTTTGGCATCATGATCCATTAGCAAATACCAAGGGTCTAAAATTAGTTTAGAATTGAAAGAGTACTTTGAAATGTTTTGAAATCACTCCATTATGGGGTAAAAAAATACTCCTCTGTTACTGTTATTTTGACTGTGGAAGTGAATTCTCAACAGACAGTATCAACTAACAAAAACTAAAACGAAATAAAAAGATGGTTTCCAGTATTGTATAATTTGTAAGAATTAAAACCAAACAAATCCTGGGCAGATGCAGGTGATCAAAGGAAAAAATGAGGACACAATCACCGGTTGGCTAAGACGAAATTTGTCATTTTTAGAAAAATATCTAGGAACACTTTAAGGTTTCTAAGTTCATATCTCTATTTAAAAATCAAAACTCTCCCTGCAGAGGGAGAGGCGGAGTAGCCAATAGCATGGTACTCGGGGGAATAGAGCAAGCAGCAGAGAAACCGCCGAGTGTGATAGAAATGATGGTTGCCAGAAACTGCGGTGTTTAACGATGACGCTGCCAATGATGAAACGCCCAGCCCCAGAGGAGAGACAGATGAATCTTGGGTACATACCTGGGTCCTGCTGCTACTGCAGAGCTGGAGACAGAAGTGGCAACACTGGCTCTGTGGGTCCCTCTAGCCCTTTTCAGCTCCATCACTTGCGACCCTCCTTTAGCTCCCTCCTCCCCAGCAGCCCTGACTTCCTTGAAATTCCTCCACCTGCAACCTTTCTCGGCATCCCCTCTGCCTAAATTGCCCTTCTCAGACAGCAGTCTGGCCCCTTCCCCACTCCCTCTTCTGTCCTTACTCAGCACCTTCTCAGCTAGACTCTATCAAACACGACCTGAGGCCCAGCACTGCCTTCCGTTCTTATCATCATCTGGTCTATTGCATATTTTACTTGTTTATTGTCTATCTCTCCCCCTAGGTAATCTCCATTAGGAAAGGTGCTGAGGCCTTTGTTTGATCCAGTGTCCTCAGGCTCTGAAAGTATCTGGCATACAATAGATGTTTTATAAATGATAAAAGAACAAATGGGGGTGTGCTTGGTTATGGAGTAAATGCCAGGTGAGCCAGGCGTGGAGTACTTCAGCTTTCACAGCCAGAAGCTGTAGTGACTGTGGCCAAGCACGAGTATAGGACTTGGACACCAGGCAACCTGTATCTGCTAAGATGAAAAATAAAAGAAAGAAAACCACCTCCTAATACCCATAGAGGCCGTGAACAGGTGTCTTCAGTGACCTGTGCTCAGAGGGGCCAGCAGGGAGGCTGGACATCAGCACAGCTCTGTCCTGCAGGCCAGGGGGTGCAGAGGAGCCATGGAAAAGGGTGCATCCAGTGAGCGCTGTGCTGCTGGTTGCTTCCTCCACAAATATCATTACTCTTCTCTCAAAAAAATAAAAAGAAAAAATTCCAGGTAAACAAAAGGGCTGGGCAAAATTCCTTTTTGGGCATAAGGAAGCCATGTCACTCGATGATGATGAAAAGCTCAAAGAACAAGTTCGTGTAAATACAGCAACGAAGCTTATTCTGTTTAAGGGGCGTACAAGACAAATAAGCAAAAGAGAAATCTGGCAGCCTTTCTCTGAAGGGGTTTCTCAGAGCAGAGGAAGGCAGATACTTGGTTCCCCAGCCTGGTTCTCCACTTGGAATGCAGTATTTCTTCAGTCTCTTTTTTAAAGTATTATTTCATTTTATATATTTTTACATCATTTTTCATTTTTGTACAATGGATGTATGCCCAAATGCCCAAAAATAGATGACTGGATCAAGAAGATGTGGTATATATACACAATGGAATATTACTCAGCAATCAAAAAAGATAAACTCATGCCACTTACAGCAACATAGATGGAGCCGGATCATACTCAGTGAAATTGCAGTCCTTTATTTCAAAATCAAATTTTGTATTTACAATCTGAACTACAAACAATTTTTACATTACTTACCAGCATTTTACTTAGCTTGTGTTTTCATAAAGTCAGGTCAAGCTGTTAGTCCACCAAGTTGTGCCAAGAAATGCTGTGATTTGGGATTCTCCTTAGCACTGTGAACTTCCAGGGAGCACCCCTAACTGACAAATGTGGAATTTGGACGTTACAAAACACATCACTTTATGCCAAAATGTGTGACAGATACAACAGCTGCTGTAGTTGATCAGGGACGGTCAAATATTTAGAAAGACTTTACAGAACCAGATGTGAAAAGTGAGATTCAGGGGCCTCCCCTGGTGGCGCAGCGGTTGAGCACCGGGCTGCGAAGCTGCCTGCAGCCTCTGCAGGGCCAGTTCAATCCAGCTGCTGGCGAGGGTCCCACATGGCGCGCAGACCTCTCCTGCCACCTGCTGCTCCCCTCAACAGTGTATTTCGTCAGTCTGTCCTGTTCCCTGCTCTGGCTCTGGTGAATTCTCTCACCCTCCCGCGCTTGTGACTATACCCAATGCTTGTATAAAAATAAATAAATCTTTAAAAAAAAAATGAGATTTAAACCACTGTAAATAATAGAAGCCGTGTGACACGGGCATTCTTTCGCCTTCCTTACACTTTTTTAAATAAGGAAAGAAGTCATTTCAAAATGACGCACATTTTTAATATAAATAGAAAAGAAATATGCTATCAGAAAAAAACCTATTTTCAACTCCAGGCTTTTGTCAAGATCATTTTATTAAAAAATACAAGATGCGCAGATAAATCGCACTCATCTCCTACAAATGTTAAGTAGCAAACAAATTCATAATGAACTCCCAATATTTTTCAGTAGCTTGAAATTGCAGTATTTATTCCATAATTTGAGTAAAAAAAAAGCTGATTATCCAACTTAACATTGTCACTTATGTATTCAAAAGTACAAAAATCACTGATAGAGTTGAGTCCCAAACCCATCAGATACATTATAAAATATGGAAACATTTATCAAACTTTTATCAAACTAACCTACCTAACATTTATCAAACATTTATCAAACTAACCAACCTAATAAAAACTACATTTTAGAGTATGGTTCACAGACACAAGTCCAACTTTTGTCTTTGGTTCAGAAGATGTAAGAGGTAGGTTTAAATAAACACCTATTACGTCACTGAGTTTTCATTCAAGTGCTCTAATAACAGAAATTATTAGAAATCAAAGGACAAAGAAAAGGGAAGTGCTCCTCAGAAACTGACATAAGCAAAGGGTTTGTTTCCTGGTGCTTTTTAACACAATGACAGAATAAACTTAATCCTTCAAATGATTTACCTTACATCGGTCATTTCACAGTAATATACTGATAATCGGTACCATCCCAGGAACCAGGAAATAGTACAGTTAGCATGGAGTAGTGTCCACTGAAATAAATATGTCATTACTCCTTCTTATACAAAATGATACGGATTAAGGCATTCAAATGCCTTGAAATTCTGTCACTTATGTTTCATTCTTATTCAGCTTAAAGAAAGATAAAGATATAAATGCTATACTTATTTGACAGTCACAAGGTATGTTTTCGCACAGTGATTTTCTTATAAACAGTCAAACAGAAATTTTTAAAAGTCTAGAAAGACATTCAAAAATAAAACAATTTAACTTTCAAGGCCTCCTCATCATTTTGTTTTCAAAAAAAAAAAAAAAAGACAGTGAAAGTCAAAGGAACTCACATAAACTTGAACCAATCAAAATAAAGATGGACAATTTACCATGCTCCACACGAAACAAATTTAGTTCAAGCCAGTACGTTTTTCAGATTTCTTGTTCAAAGGTAAGAGATTTATAAAAAGGACTAATAAGAAATAATAAAAAGCAATATTGTGACCTTTCCAAAATTGTACGAAATATCAAAACTATGATTTTTAACATTTCTGTTTGTGTATGTGTGTGTAATCCAAAATCTGAAGTGATCATTGATATACTCTTTCCTTTTGTGAAAAAGTAGCTTCCTTAGCCATAGGCTTGTTGCAATTCTCAGAGAAAAAGTCATGCTAGTGATTGTTGAAAATTTCAATCATCAATGCTAAAGCAATAAATTCAACATTTCATTTCTGGGTTACTCCTAAAGTTCGTTTCATATTTTCATAAGTCACATAACTGATGCCTACAGCAGGGATCACTTTCATGAAGTTTGGAGTGATGCCTCGGTAAAGTCCTGTTACTCCTTCTTTGGAAATTATTCTTTGAAAGAGGCCAACCATGTTCAGTTGTGGGGCTCCTTCTACCATAGCTAGAAAATGAAAAAAGAAATGAAGTTAATTTAATATTCAATATTTGTTAATTTAATATTCAATATTTTTGTTACTGTAATTATCCTTTTATTAATTACATGTCATATAATATATAATATAAATATATATGTTGGGGGCAGAGTGGTTGGTACCTGGGATAGAGATGAACAGTCACTGTATTATTTAGAGGGATGGCCAGCAAAGGCCAGGAAAAGAGAAAAAAGCAATAAAAGAGAAGAGAAAAAAAGCAATAAAAGTCAGCAAATAGGAAGAGAGAATAATCAGTGACATGGCAAAAGAACCAGAAGGGCACCCCATAATCAAAGCCAAAAAAATAGTGTCACAGTGGGGAAGGATCCCTGTCCAAAGCTTTAGTGCAATAATAACAATTCCTATCTCCCTTTACCAAGAATTTGACAAATATGAAGTGCTTTACACATCGTCTTACAACACTGTACAGTTTTCATTTCCACTTACAGATGAGAAAATGAAAACCTGAAAGGATTTAGGGCAAGGATCTGAACCCAAATCAATCTATACTTTTTTTTTATTTTTGCATAGAACTGGGGTACAGATCAGAGCTGCAAGGGTGAGAGGATTCACCAGAGACAGAGTGGGGAGCAGAACAGGCGGGTTTGCGGAAATACACTCCTGAGGGGAGCAGCAGCAAGACAGGCGAGGTATGCTGCCCCATATGTAGGTTAGCTCCCTGGCCGGGGATTGAACTCAGGCTTAGAGGTGATAGAGCTGAGACTTAACCCATAGGCCACCAGGGAGACCCTCCATCTATATTCTCAAAACATACATTCACAACATGGGCAAACACCACTTACTCGTAAAGTAGAGAGAGCACACAGTACATGTGCTGTGTATGGGGGAATTAAAATTTCATGAAAAGTCATTATTAGGAAAGACTTTCTAAAGGAAAATTTTCCTTAGGAAGATCAAAAAAAGTTATTAAATACTTCTTAAAACCATACTCTGCTGTCTCAATAGAATTTGAAAAGTTCAAAACACAGGAAACTGATGAAGTATTTTTAACAGTGTTCTCATTTCATCAAGAACTCACCTTGAGCCTGCATGCGTGTTCTCACCAAAGCCAAGGGGTAGCTGGCCAGCTGACCGCAGGTGCTGGATAAGGCACCGCATCCCAGCAACACCACAACTCCGGGGTTTACAGAGTCTTTGGCAAAATTATCTAGCCAATAGGATTTCAAGAGCTGCCAGAGAAAAATAATCAAGAACTACCTTTATAACTGCTTGCACTGACATGAATATTTTCATAGCTCCCCCACCCTTAGGAGAGACCCACCACATTGGTACACTGCCCGTGGCAGCTGCAGCTCTGTGAAGAGGTAGGGATTCAGAACTGTGAGGTTTGCACCGATTGCTCATTTTCTCCTAAAGACATGAAGATCAATAGCACATCAAATGTAGGCTCTAAAGGACATTTCCTACAGCATTAATAAAAATAACCTACAACTACTAATTATTTCTCATTCTGTACATTCATTTAATCCTACAAAAGCTCTGAGACAGAACTATTCCTCTTATTTTAGAAATGTGGAAAATAAGTCTCAGTAAAGGTTTTTTTAAACTAGGGTAAAGAATCAAGTACTGATCTGATCCCCAGGCCATGCTTATTTCTATTAGAAGGCAATTAGTTGAGAGAAACTGTATAAAATATATATACTTATCTACTTTTTAAATATAGTTTAAATATAAAAATATATACTAATGTGGTAATAATTATGTAACCAACTTATATTTTTAATTAAAAGGTTACCTGCAAATTAGCCTTTATAATTACATAAAAAGAACAGCCCAATAAATTTGAATAAATAGATTCAAGTGTCTTACTTAATTTTCATTTATTTTTTACCATAATTTATTATTTTTAGATGACCCTTTAGTATTATAGTATGACAATAAAGCCATGAAGGCTATAGACAAACATTTGTGAACCATGGAAATGAGAAAATAGAAGTGATTCAATAAAAACAAGTAAATTATCTACGCTATTAAGATCAGGACACAGCAAAAGAAACTGCTTACCATTAAAACAAAAAGACACCCAACTGAATGGGAGAAAACATTTACACATCATACATCTGATTAGGGGCTGATATCCAAGATCCATAAAGAACTCATACAACTCAACAAAAAGAAAACAAAGAACACAATCAAGAAATGGGCAAAAGAGTTATACAAATATTTCCCCAAAGAAAACATACAAATAGCCAACAGGCACATGAAAACATGCTCATCATCACTTGTTATCAGGAAAACACAAGTCAAAACTACAATGAAAAGCCATCTCACACCTCTGAGAATGGCCCAAATCAAAAACACCAGAAACAACTAGTAGTTGCCAACAATGTGGAGAAAAAGGAACTCTCACACCCCGTTGGTGGGAATGTAGAGAGATCAGTCCCTATGGAAAATATGGAGTTTCCTCCGATTATTAAAAATAGATCTACTGTATGAACCAGCACTCCTAGGTACTCAGTTGAAGAATGCAAAAACAGGGACCTCCCTGGTGGCACAAGATTAAGCACAACACTGTGAAGTTATCTGCAGCCTCTGCAGCACGAGTTCGATCCCCTGCCAGCCAGGGAGCTACCCACATGGCGCAGCAGACCTCTCCTGTCTTGCCCGCTGCTCCCCTCAGCAGTGTATTTCAGTCAGTCTGCCTGTTCTGTCCCCCACTCTTTCTCTGGTGAATACTCTCACTCCCCACCCCGCACCTCTGGCCTGTACCCCAGTTCTTGTATGCATAAATAATAATTAAATCTTTCTTTAAAAAGAGTGCAAAACACTAATTTGAAGGGAAGTATGCACCCCTATGTCCACTGCAGCACTGTTAACAATAGTCAAGTTATGGAAACAACCTTACAGTTCAAAGACACTTCAGTAGATGAGGAAGATTTGGTGTATAGATACACAAAGGCATAGATAGCTATTAAAAAGATGAACTCTTGGGACAGTATGGATGGAACTAGATGGGAGTACTGTATAAGTGAAATAAGTCAGAAGGAAGAAAACAAATACCAGATGGTTTCACTAATATATGGAAACAAAACAAAGGGTCAGACAAAACAAAACCAGTAAAAAAAAAACAAAAAACTTAAGGCATTTGACAATTGAGGCTACCAGAGGGGAGGGAGAGAGCAAAGTGGAGAGGAGACACAATGGACAGCAATGGAGGACTTAGGTGCCTTGGTGGTGGGTGTGATATGGCGACAAGCACCTGAGCAGGTGTGAACCTATGCCTCTCAGTCATATACAGTGTTGTAAACCAGTGCAACATTTAAAAAAAAAAATCAGAATGGAAGGGAGGAAATGAGAAAATGTAGTCTTAAAACAATTGAAGACTCTATGAAGCATATAAACCTTATAAATCCGCACTGTCTCATAATCCATTTTCTTCCACCTCCTAGAATCTACTATCATTCCTTGACCCTCAGGTCTCTGTATTTTTATTATTTTTTGAATTGTCTTAATTTTTATCTATTCTGTCTCCCTCTCTTTACTGGTTCTATAATCTTCAACTTACAATCGCCTCAAAACTCTATCACTTCAGGAAGGTTTCTCCACTAGCAACAAGGTTTGCCATACCATCTACTCGGCTTTTCTCCTTCCCTTCCACTAAGTTTCCTAAGGATTACTGGCCTTCCTTACTGCTCCTTTATTTGATATTGACTCCTCATTGCACTGATTTTCGAAACCATTCCATTAAGGTTACTCTTTGATAGTCACCAGTAACTCCATAATTTGCCTGATAAATTCAATTTAGCCTTTACCTTACCTAAGTTTTTGCAATCTCCCCATTCTCGTGTATCCATGAGTATGGCCTTCACCTGTTTGTCCTTTAACAGCTGTCTTCCATCTTTAGAATAGCAGCCTCAATCCAGCATACATAGCTTTTCAAGATCACAACCTAAAGTAATTTTCTAGCCTCATCAACTAACACTGTCAAATCTTACCATGAACCAGAAGTACCTGTAGTGTCCCAAATTCCCATGCTCTCTCTCTATACTACTTCCATGTTTTTGCACATACAAATCACTCTGCCACCACTCTCCCCCAATCTCTGAACCTTTTTTTTTTTAATCTGCACTTTTTCATCGTTCAAAACTCAGTCCAAAGAGAAGTGACACCAGCAAAATGGCGCAATGGAAAATTCCAGATTCTTCTTCCCCAATGGAGACAGTAATACAACAAAAATATATAAACCTCTGCGACAAATTCAGGAAACAAGAGATTCCTACACCCCAGCTAAGAATGAAGTCAACTACCTCAAAGTCCATTAGGAAAGGCATAGCACTCCTTATCCAGAGTCCCTCCTTCAACCCCTGTAACACAACCGGAAGAAAACTGGCAACTCCCAACTTCTCCTTGGGAAGATAAAAAGAGTGAAACATAAGCACAATATCCTAACTCTTCCTGGGGCTGTCCAAGGACTGGTTTCCATCTTACCTAAATCTAAGCACTGGAAGGAAAGCGGCACTAGGTTGGAGGCTCTCTGAGAATAAAGATGATCAATGCAACTTGGTCTAGCGCCAAAGTCTGCAGTACAACAGACAGTAGAGGGAGCTCTGATACCTCTGTATTCTACAACACTAGAGTTGCTCTACCACAGATGAGGAGTAGCAGCTGACATGCAGGAGATTACACACATGCCCGGAGAGGATGCAGCCAGAGGAAAAGTCTGAAGATCTAGAATCTCTAGCTGGGCTGATTGGTGAAAGTCCTCCCTAAATGGAACCAGATCACAAAGAGAGGGAGAGGTGACTAGTTTTCCAAATGCCAAAGTCCAAACAGAAAATAAGTCATACAAAGAAACAAGGAAGCATGGCCCAATCAAAGGAGCAAATTAAACCTGAAGAATACAACTCGAAAGTAATGGAATGTATATGAATTTTCAGACAGAAAATTCAAAATGACCAACATAAGCGTACTTAAAAGAGACCATAGCAGCTAAATGAAATCAGGAAAATGATGAACAAAATGAGAATGTTAACAAAGCCACAGAAACTATGACTTAAGAATCAAACAAAAATTCTGGAGGGAAAGACTGTAATAAGTGAACTGAAAAACTGATTAGAGGGGGATTTGACCACAGACTTGAAATGACAGAAATAAAAATCTCATTAAGTTAAAACAGGACAAAATTATAGAAGCACAAAAGCAAAAAGTAAAAGTACATAAAATAACGATAATCTGAGAGCTTTATGGGACATCAGATGAGACAACATATATACTATGGGAGTCCCAAAAGGATAAAAAGAGAAAATGGGGCACAGATTCATCCTTTGTTTTAAAGAGACTACTCAGAATACAAATCTTGGATCAACTTTGCCATTTAAGTCATTTAATACTTTATGAATCTGATAGACATTTATTGACTGCACACTATATGCAAGTCACTGGCTTAGACGCTGGATCTAGAGGCTGCTACCCTTATCAGTCTCTTGGTTGGTAATACCAAATTCTAGTGACTCAAGGAAATGAGACTATGATACCAAATTTTTGCTTATTTTCTCTCCCCTCCAAACAAGCAAACAAACAAAAACCCTAGTATCATCTAAGCTGAATAACTGTATTTTAATATAAGTCCACCCTCTTCATAAATAAAAATAATTCCCAGGGAAATCTAATACAAAAATGACCATAAACATATAAAGTCTCATATTCTGGGTATTTCAAAAGATAGAGCAAATAACACACCCTTGCATCTACTTTAGGCTACAGACTATTGCCTGGCATACATGTACTTCTTTAAAGTCAAGTTATAATAAGACCTACTTTATGACATTTCAGATTCAAAAGATATAAACTCACCTCATAGACAGCAAGATCTATACCTGCATACGGTATGATGCCTAATAAATTGGGGATATAACCTTTGTAAAAAGCTCCCATGCCTTCATGTTTCAAAATCTTCTTGGCACAATGGAATAGTCCAGAATACTGTCCAGTTTTACCTACAGCCAGCCTGGTTTTCAAAACCTGGTTATGAGGTACAACAAAATATTATTGCTCATATTAACTCTTTCATCATGCAGTTTAAAAGAAGTAACTTTACAGAGGACATATTGCCACCCAAGTGACAGTCCAATCGGTCCATGTGTTCTCCCTCAACATTACACCAGAGCCAAAAACCTATTTATTACCAAGAGGATCTGAAAGAGAATAGTGGCAGAGAAATAGAGAGAAAATAATCTACTGAACTGAGTGGTGACTGACGAGATATGGGAGTAAAGGGAAATGGTTGTATGAAGGATGATTCCAGTGTTTTTAAGTTGGAACATAGGATAGAAGACAGAAGGAAGAGGTAAAGTGGTGTTAATTAACTGAGATGTAGGATAGTAAAAGGAGAACTAAGTTTGAATTAGGGTATTTCTTAAAGGATATATGAGGTAATATAAACAATGATTTTAAGTGTACAAAGGACATTACCTTTAAATACCAGAAAGGTGAAAATTAAGGGCATAACTTTCTAATCAGTTATTGAAAAACCCTTCGTTATCAGTGAAAATATCCACATCTACAGTATTATTTTTGCTCTAAAAGAGGAGTTGGCACATTTTTTTCTGCAAAGGTCAGACAGTATACAATAGCTCTTTATAGGCCTGTTGCATATTCTTTGTTTTTCTGGATTTTTAACCACATTTTTAAATTGTATAAACCATTCTTAATTCAAGAGCTGTACAAGACAGTCTACAGGTACATGGTCTGTCAACCTGTGCTCTAAGAGAAGGGGCCAAGTTAAGAGAACTATGATCTAATCAAATCCTGAGGCTCCATTATGAAATTTCTAGAAATTTAAATTTCTAAAGAAAAACTCTTTGGGGCAGAATAGAATGGGTACTGCAATTCTTATTGACACTTTGGAAGCCAGCCTCCAAGATGGCCTTTAACTATCCATGCCTCCTGTAGTCACACCTTGTGTAGCCCCATCCCTTCCAGGGATAGACCAACAGAAAACAACAGAAATGATGAAAGATTGCAGCTTTCATCTGGGAGACTCACTTGTGTTCTCTTTCTCAGATTACTGACTTGGAGAAACCAGATAACGATGTTGCAGAGATAACAAGCAGCCTATGGAGAGGCCTGTGTGATAAGGAACTGATGCTCTGACCAACTGCCATGCAACAAATTAGTGAGTGAGCTTGGAAGCAGACCCATCCCCAGGTGAATCTTGCCGTGACTTCAGCCCTAGTTAACATCCTGACGGTGGGATATGAGCTAGAGGCACCCACCCAACCAAGTCATTCCTGGATTTCTGACCCACAGAAATTGTGAGATAATAAATGCATATTGTTTTAAACTGCTAATTTTGTGGTAACTTATTACACAGCAATTGGTAATTAGTACAAACATCACTAACGCTGTCATATTCTCTATGGTACTTACCTCCATGGGATAAATAAAAGTCTGTGCAGTTGCTCCAGCCATGGAACCAGAAATAAATCGTTCAAAGGTTCCTATTTTCTGTCCATCTTCAGTAAGCAACTTCTTGTACTGTATAAATAAAATTTTCAGTGAATGCAGATAACTGCCAGAGACTGGATTGTATGTCCCCCTACAAATTCACCTATCAAAGTGGTAATCCCTAATGTGATGGCATCCGGAGACAGGGCTTTGAACACTACATACCAGGTTGAAAATACCTTTTTTCTTAGTTTTTTAAACTAGTCACAAATAAGACCTATCTGTCTAGACGGGAACTAGCTATGCACATGGGGAAACTTAAGAATATATATAGCATCATATTTATCTCAAAGTAATTACAAGTCTCTGAACTTTTCTTTATGCAATAGAAAATTGGACAGTCTGTAATTCAGTGCTCTAAGAAAGCTGGGCAGAGTCACTGGTTTTGCTTAGGAAATGCTTTCACAGAGTCCTAATGGATGCTCGGAACTCCAGCTGGAAGGAACTAAATGAGCAGAAATAATGGGAGAGACAGACACTAAGAACATTTCACTATACTGTGCAGAGAGCTTTCTCTTTATCTCTAATAAAAGTTGGCATGCAAGATGAGAATACTGCAAAAAGGGCTCAAGAAAGAACCTGACTGGATACCTGTTGACAGTGTCCAGGAAAATGACAATAAAGTACAATGCACAATTTGTTTATAATACTGACATTCAAAAATACCAAATTTCTAGCATACTTAAATAATGATCTATAATTTATTTTTTTATTTTATTCTCCAGCTTTCCTATCATAAAATCCAAGTACAAGGTCAGACTAAACTAAGGGTATAAAAAAATGCTAGCCCATGCTTAATTCTCAAACATTCACACAAGGAAAATATTCTTCTTAAAGACAGACTCAAATTAAAGTCCCAAAAGTTAAATTTTTTTCAATTTTGTTTTTCTGTTTCCTAAGCAAACAAGAAGACACCACTAGACTTTGTAATCTTCCCAAGAGCATTCAGTTACTCAAGAATTAAATATTCCCTAACAATCAAGCTACAACTCTACCTTTCCTTGAAGAGTTACTTAGAAAACAATACAAAAGTATCTCTTTATCGTGTAATATGAAATTCAGAATCTCACAATTTAGTCATGAGGAATGTCTGAATTTATCCAGTCTAATCTCCTGAAGGATAAATTGCTCACAGAATATATGTGGAAAATCATCATGTATTATAACAAAAATATACTGTATGTTAACTGCTACTGAATCAGTTAGCTCCTCTATATTAATTAGCCCACAGGTGATAACAATTACCTGTTCATATGCATAGAATTTAACCGCTGTCTCTGGTGCAATTTTAATGACATTTGTACCATTTCCTCTCCAGAGGGAGCGGATGCCTCCTTCTTTCACCATCTGTCGAAAGCCATCATATATGCTGATTTTGTGTGATTTTGAACCATGAACCTAAAAATAAAAGTAAAATGGTATCAAATATTGGTGGCAAGTTATTGTTCCCGTTTCTAAAGTAACCATAAAAACCACTCTCTTTTCAATATTGTTTATTACTGCCAGAAGAGGCATTTCAAAGTAGAAAGTAATATTAGGAACTATATAATGATGGAAAAAAATATTACCACCATTTTAGAGGCCTGAGTCTGAATTTAAAACTAAGAAAAATCAGTATTTTTAATGTGGAAAAGCGGAGTAGGGATAATCAAAATTGATAATATGAGTACCACTCGTAAGACAACATGAACCAATTATTAGGATCTGGAACACCCTTTAGGATGTGAACAAGTTCAATTTAAGAAAATTTTTTAAATATACTACAGGTAATATATTATTTCTCCTCTCAAGAAGTAATGCAACATGAAATATAAATGGGCCTGAACATAGCTTGAATTGTTATGTACTCCAGAACCACAGACACTTGAATCCACATAGTCTGACACCAAATATAACAATTGCACCTTCTTTGGCTTATCTCAAGGCCTCTCTCTACAATAAATTCAAGACAAGTGCCAACTACCTAACTAGTACTGATGAACTATTTGGCTTATACTACAAATGTGATAGTTTCTCAAACATACTAGGCCTCATGAATGCCTCTCTGCAAAGACTGATTAACTCTAATAAACCAGTAACAATTTTAAAGAAATCTGATGCTCTGATTGTTTGGGCTTACACAGAATGAGTGACTATTACAAAAAATAAAAGTCAGGGTGGGAGGGGCTGGAAACTATGGGCAACCATGACAGCAGCATGTAATCAAGTTGCACTAAAACCCTAGGCACAAAGACCTCCTTGATCAGTACAAAAAACTCTGCATACTGTCACACATCACTTCCAGGAAAATAACCCGTCATGACTCTAAAGGAGAGGACAAGAGAAATTCAGCACTTGGCACTTCCTCAGATGCAGTCCCATATACTCCTTTCCTTGGCTGACTTCAATCTGTATCTTTTCCCTGTAATAAACCACAACTATGAGCATAAAAGCTTCCAGTGTATCCAAGTCCTTCTACTGAATTACTGAAGCAAAAGTGTTCTGAACTGCAGAAATGTTGTCCAAATATCCATTTCATCGTAAATAAACTTCACAATAAACTATGATAAAGACAAATGCCCATTCTAGCTCTCTCAAAGCCAATTATTGTTCCTTACATTCTTTAAAGTGATAGTTTTACCTGTAAGTGTATTCTGAGACTGAGGTACACTCAAAAAGGTGCTAGTTTGAAATATTGTCAGAAGTCATTTCTCATTTTGTACGGAAATTTAAGGACAGATATAAAAGAGGGTTGACAATAGTCATAACAAAAACAACTTTTAGAAGTATTTTTAAAGCAACTATTATATTCAGTAGGGTGTTCCCATGTATCATATATTTTCACGTCCCTTCTATCATTTATCACCCTTGTTAGTTATCCTCATTCCCATTCCAGAACAAAGGAAAATGAGACCAGGGAGTTTGTGCAGTATGAGAACCATGAGCTTTGGCGTCAAATATACTCACTTTTCACCCTATTTATTATAAAGGAAAAGTTACTCAAGTCTCTGGAACTCAGGTTCTCTGCGAATAGTATGAGGATAAATACCTACCTTACTGGGTTTCCATAAAAATTAATGGGTTACGGGCCTCCCTGGTGGCACAAGGTGTTAAGACACAACCTATGACGCTATCCCCAGCTACTGCAGCATGAGTTCAATCCCCAGCCAGGGAATTACCCACATGGTGCGGCAGACCTCTCCTGGTTCTCCCACTGCTCCCCTCAGCAGTGTATTTCAGTAGATCCACTTGTTCTGCTCCCTACTGTGTCTCTGGTGAATCCTCTCACTACCCGCACTTCTGGCCTGTATCCCAGTTCTTGTATGCATAAATAAATATTTTTTAAAAAAGAAGTAATGGGTTACTATGATGAGCACAAAATAAATTTAATTCTTTCCCTATCCCTCTTCCTTTACAATCTAACCAGCCAAGGCTACACTAATAGCAAATAGCAATATCAATCTATGAATACAGGTCTTTTTCTGCTAACCTCAGCTTTAGAATAATTTTTAAATTAAATAACTTAAATTTTCCTTGTTACAAGATTTCATAAAGAAATTTTTTGAGAGTAAGTGTATTATATAAGCTATCCTATATATAAATAATTTAAGAAGAACGCTATATAATGATGTCTGGAGACTTTTTTAATTAAAATATGTGAATAGTCACAGATGCCAAAGATTAAAAGTTCATTGCACCTAGGAACCAACAATTTAAGTTTTGTTAGAACAATGAAATACTTACATGAAGTGAACTGATGGTTAACAGCAATAAAATAAAGCTTTTCTTAAGGATAAGAAGAGAGATGATGACTGAGAAATCTTAAAACTTCATTTTCAAAGCACCATATTTCTTATTGTTTTAGGATATTTAGGACAAAGTTAGACACACGGCAAGTTCACCTGCATCATGACTTTCAGACGGTCCAAAGGTGCAGTGCTTGTTCGAGAGACAGCACCAGCAACGCCTCCTGCCAAGAGCTGCCTCCACCACTGGCCCGACTTTTTTTCATCTTCAGTGAATTCATCAGGAATAGTTAAACTATCGCCTATGTCAAGGCCCTGTGAAAACGGAAAAGAGATTCCCATGCTTTATCAATTAAAATTAGGTCATTACAGAAGGCATGTAATTTTAGAGAAGGGTGTGTACATGTGTATGCACGCATGCGTGCATTCGTGTGTGTTTGAGAGGGCAAGTTTCCTTATGGTTTAAAACAATGTCAATTCTTAAAAAGTATACTGAACCAATCTGAGCATATAAATAAATAGTCTATTCACACTAAGTAAAATACAGTATCATATCAGAAGCAATGAAAACCAATAGTAATTACACTTTACAAAACCAACAATTGCAACTTTTTTCTCAGTAGATTCAGAGTTGCTTTTCTCCTCTTGGTATTAGAATACAAGAGCAGCATTTTATCAGATATAGTGAATCCTTTTTTTAAGCTGCAAAAATAAATTGGCTGTCAATCCCTCAAAAATACTCCCTTTATCTCAAAATCATATCGACTGTACTCTACATCATGATACATGCTGTAAATATGTAAATAAAAGTTGTTACAGCTATGCATGTACATACCCCAAACTTCTATACAGATCATCTATAAATATTTTTATAAACATATTGCCATTTAAAACATGTGATAGGTATAGAAATTAACAGGGAGATAAGAAAGTGAAAATCAAAATCAACAAACAACTATGAACCAGAGACACTCTATGCGGGGTGGGTGTAGGGAGGGCGGGATTGGGGTCAAAATAAGGGGGTTGCAATTGTATGGGGAATATAAAAATGAAATTTATTAATAAAAAAAGAAATTAACAGGGAGAAACAATTTAAAGCAATACAGACTCCAACCTATTGTAAACATTACAAATATGGCAAGAGAAATGAAGCTCTTTAATAGATAATGTTTTCACAATTTTATTATTTAAATGATTCTGGTATAAAAGATTTTATAGGTATGTGTCATGCAATCATCCCAGGATTGGTAGATTTATTATTAGTTCTCAAAGCGTAAAGATTTTGGGGCCTTCAGGTGGGTTCTGCAGGCCTTTAATGAAGAAACAGAGGCCCGTGTGCACAGGCAGGCAGCAAGAGAGACTCCAACACTTAGAAGCAGAACAGCAACTCCCCTGCCTAAGTGCCCTTACCCAGTTAAGGGCCCACAGCCACACGACCAATACATTGTTGCAAACGCAACGCCCATCTGTTGTTTGCTAGATGTCTGAATGGTGGAAAACAGCATTTCAAGGTATGGGCTCTCTGTTACATGGAAGGCAGAAAATGGCCTGATTTACTCATTCTCCTTACACTCCACCCCATCAGGGTTTTTTTCAGTACAATCTACATATCAATTTTCTGCAAGAGTAGAACACTATACCCATAACTTGCCAAAGCAATATAAACTGTAACAATGCAACTACGCCCAGTTTTCAGGTGTGTCCATGGGAGAGGTATAGCCTTTTCCAAATCTACAAGATTTGGAAAAATCACTGGTCCACAAGATGTCATCAATGAATGGTACAGTGCACCAAGGATGGCCTCTCCCACCAGGCCAATTCAGCTGCCACCAGCCCACGGCACAGAGTAGGGCTAAGCAGGTGTCCCTGCCAAAGCACTGTGAATGCCCACTGCCTGCCTTGTAGCAAGCCATCAGTGTAACAAGCAGACCCCTGAAACTTCTCTGGGTTTCCATATAACAGAGTACACTCTGGCCCCATATCTAAGGCCAAAACCCTTTGCACAATGGTTGGGGACCAATGAATAGCAAGCTCTACATATGGCCTCTGGTCCCCACCTGTGCCCTGAGGACGGCCCTCATGCTATTTGAAAGTGAACAGGGCCTCCCCCTGGGGCTGGGGTCAGCAGCAAATGGTCCTCCAGGCGCATAGCATGTACCTGGGGCCTGGAGTCCCCAGCTTTTTCCTTCTCTGCAGCCCATTTTATGGGAGTGTATGCTGGTCCTCTCCCAATTGCCTCCACAACACTAACAAATATGCATTGGGCCCTGCATCTATTTCATACTCTACACCTGCTCTCAGTAGAGCCCTATTTGGACACAGGTGACTTTAAGAGGCTTAATGACCTTAAGACGTTTGTTTGCCCTCCTAGGCATCCTTTCTGGCTGCTCAACAGCTACCTGTATTCCCTTCTGAGAGCTCCAGCTCTCAACTTCACCCAAGATGGCCATCATGATGCCAGAATCGCCATAAGGGACGCAAAAGAGGAAGAAGGGGCCTTTGCAATCCCAAATCCCTCACCCCAGCAGTTAACGCTCATTATCAAGGCCATGAGTGTTTACACTGAACATGGCCTGCTGCCTTCCCAGTTCACAAAGCTCGTGTACAAGCTCAGTGTATGTTTGCCATTTACTCACAGTCTCCAGCACATCTCCCGCATCAGCCCATACCATTCTCACAGCAGCCATTAACCATTCCAATGGCGCGTGATCACCCTCGACACACCGCTGGCTGTTCTGCAGCTGCTGTCTCAACAATGGGTGCAGGGTCACTGAAGCCAGTTTCTCCACCTCTTGTGCTGTGCCAATGATTCTGTCCTCTCCCCGGTCCCACAAACACTGTGGCCAAGCTGCCAGGGGCTCTTCTGGTTCCTCACAGAGCTGTTTACACAAGTCCATCGGTCCCACTTGGGTGTATGGGTGATAGATGGTGAACTCTGTCATCTGCGGTGGCCCAGCAGCCTGACCCTCTGGGGCCACAGGCTGCTGGTGCTTCATCTTTGTCACCACCTGAGGAGCCTGGAGCTTGGGACCAGCCTTCTCCTCTCTAGAGGGGGAGCCTAATGTCTCTGCAGTGGCAGGTTTTTCTGCCACCACTGGGCAAACCTGGAGCAAGGGGCCAGCCTCCTCCTCTTCTCTGGAGGAACCCGGCGTCTCTGGAGTAGTGGGTTGGTCTCTCTGGATCCCTTTCTCAAGAAACCTCAAACGTTTCTGCAGGGCCTGGGTCTCATCCAGCAGTTGCCAGACCTTGGATTCTTCTCTGCACGCACATACTCGTAGAGCTGTAAGGAACACCCAGCCCACAGCTCCTGCTGCCTCAAGGGCACTGTATCTGTCCAAGTTCCCTTCTATTTTGCACAGGGCCTGTTCCAACTGCCACGGGGTTCCATCTACCTCTGGCCATTCCTGGGGAGGTGCCCACTGGGCTAGGAGACTGGCCACCGGGTACCATCTGCTGGTGGCCGGCCACCCTTCAATCTCTCCCGAGGTCTCAGTGGACTCCATATCCATCTGTGTCAAACTGTCCTGCTGTCTCCACCACGTGTCGTGCAACCATTCAATTTCAGGTAGGCTCATTGTCAGTTCTTGCAGATGAAAAGAGAATTTGGAGCCTTCAGCGGATTTTTGCAGTCCTTTAAAGCTGAGATCCAGGACCATACACACAGGCAGGCAGACAGAGCACAAACTAATCCAAGACTGAGAAGCATAACCACAACTCCCAGACTAGCCCCCTTTACCCTGTTAAGTGCCCACAGCCACACAACCCATACATTGTTGCAAATGCAAGGCCCAGCTGTTGTTTACTAGATGTCTGAATGGTGGAAAACAGCATTTCAAGGTATGGGCTCTGTTAGGTGGAAGGCGAAAAATAGCCTGATTTACTTATTTCCTTACAGTATGCAGGGGTAAAGCTATTTTATAGCTGCAACCCTCTCTTCATTTCACTCTCAATAAAATGGATACATGTTTGTAGCCTTAACTGTTAACCAGCTATACCCAAAGATACAGTAAGAATTTGATTATGTAAATACAATTTCACATGTACAAAATTTACCTAAGCAACTAAACTTTTAATGGAGTATTAGTTCACATTTATAGTGGAAAAGACACTAATCATCAACAATTTTATAATGCTCTATGTAAGCTGAGCCATTTTTACTAGTAGCAACATGAACTCTAGGCTTCATTTATCACATCTAAAATTTACTGAAACTCCTGAATAAGTAGAAAAAAATAAGTCCATTAGGAAAAAAAAAAAAAAATTCCTGTTGGTTTTATAACCAGTGGTGAAGCCATAGACAAGTGGTGCACCCTGGAGGGGGTTGCTGATGAGGACTGACAGCCCCAGGGAAAATGCTAAAAAGTACTGAATTTTGGGGTGGAGGGACTGACAGGTAATATAGGGGAGGGGCGAGAAACTCAGATTCATTCAGTCTTCAAGATTCAATAATTTTCAGATCTTCAGCAATTGGGGGTCAACGGATTTTGTGTTCCCCACCACGTGGATCTTCCAGAAGGCTGTTGCAGGCCTCTGAATGTGGAGAGGCCTCCCACAGCCAACCTCAGAAAGGTAAAGTCCAGAAGCTTTGCAAGTACCCGAGTAACTGAAACTGTTCCCGGTTTTGCTGTTACAGCCTGGCAGAGAAAGCAAAGACCCGGAGCCCAGAGCCAGAGTCTCACTGAGCTGCGTAAGCGTGGCCGTTTGTCAGGTCATTCAGCCGCTGCAGTTGCTGTCTTGAGTGTCGCTTGTCTGGTACTGTGGTGGGGCATCTTGGCAGCTCCAGAAGGGTCTCCTGTTATGTATTCTGGGGACTTTGTGAATTGGAACATGGCCTAGAGTCTGGTTGCCATGTGCTCCAGGTCAGCAGAAGCAGGAAGATGCCATCTTGGGCATGTGGCCTATTGTTCAGGAGAGGAGCTCCTCACCCACAGTGGTGGGGAGACACCATCTTAGCTGCTTTTGCTTAGGACGTGAAAATACTGGACACTGCTTTGGGTGAGATAAATGGCCATTTTTGGCCTCAGTAACTCTATTTTTCCCTGGTTTGTTAAATAAATCCCATTGTTATGGTTCACTGAGCCTGAGCAGTCTTGCAATTGTGCATGTGAGTGAAGAACTCAGAAAATAACTGGTAACTATTTGGTCAGTGTCCTTGGCCAGTTTTAGTTCCCCTTGCTGCCCTGTATCAGTTTCAGGAGCAGAATGCACAATAAATTGAAGTTCATTTACACCGGTTAGTTTTAGCAGAATGTTAATGAGATTTAATTAATTAAAATTTGACAGAAATAAGGAATGCAGACAGGTGGGAAATGCTGAGCAGATGAACCAAGAAGATTTTTTTAACCCACATAATTATTACTTCAAGCGTGTTATGCCAGACATAAATCTAGGCAGTTGGAGAGAGCAAAATTTTCAGAAGAGATTTTTGGTCATCATTACTGACCAAAGAGATAGATCTTCAGAAACCATGATATGCCAAGATTATTCAGGCAATAATGTATCTATAAAAAAAATGAAAGTTTAATCATTTTTATACTTTGTTGTGGTAGAATACTTACTGCCAACCAAAGGTGGGTAGTTTATCTACAATTGGAAAAGTAGTACCCTTTTCAAGTTTTAAGAAGATCCAAAGAGCTATTACAATTGCAATGTTTCTGTAGTCTTGGGGTTTTAAGATACTCTCATATATACAGAATCTATAACCTAGGAGTAACCAGCACTGGGACACCCTGAGTAATAAATGCTATGTTCTCAGGTGTTAACTATACCTATAGTTTTACTGCTGTAAATAAGTAAAAATTAATACCTAAAACATACTTACAGTAGAATGTTTCCAGAAACGGATAATTCCCTCAATGTCTGTAGCAGGGTTAAATAAGAAGTAGTCTCTCCATTCATTCCAGTCCACTGTCATGGTCCCATCAGCATCAATGCTAGAAACAAAAAGTTCATTTAAGAACAAAGCAAAATGCATAAATAAAACTAACATTAATTATAATTATATTGCAAAATAACACTTGTTTTTCCAACTTTATATTCTTATTAAATTAAAAAGTCCCACTTCACAATAGGTTGTTGGAAATGACAGCATTTGATGGTCCAAGAGAAAGTTTTAACCATTTAGATAAAAATGGACCCCAAAATTACAGAGCGCTCACAAAAGACTACTTTTTGGTGCTCTGTTAAACTCTAAGACAATAGCTATCAAACACAAAAGTTGGAAGCTAAAATATGGGGTGAAGTAATGAATGCATTTATGATCATTTTTTTTCTTGCAATGGCTCAGAAAGGTATTTCTTAATGTTCTGTTAATAGCATTTGGATGTGGTGTTGAAATAAACTCAAATCATGCTACTAATTTCCTTCCCCATTTTTCTCTAATGTAAGAAAATTATCAGTGACTGGTAAAAAAAAAATGATGGGGATGAAGGAAAGTAAGACTTAACCTTTTTGCAGGGCACATTTTGATGGTATTTCATTGCATTTGAATTTGTTTCTCCCATGTTACCTTCAGCTTCCTATTTGTCTATTTTCCCTTCCTTTCTCCTCTTTGTTGGACTGTCTGATTTTCAAGCTTGTTTATTTATTTTCTTATTCCATTTCTTCCCTTTCTGGTTTGGAAGTTAAATACTCAACTTTTATACTTTGAGTGGCTTAACTTAAAATTTTACCATGTATAAATTCTGAACACACAAAAAATATGATTTACTGTTGAAAAATTCAACATAAAGCCACCCTTTTCTGTTTTCTCTGGTCATTAAAAAAAAAAATAGCCCCTATGGTATGTTTGTAAAAAAAAAAAAAAGAGTCTTCAAGGGCACTTACACTTCAGAGATTATTTCTCTACAGTGTGAGATAAAGCATAAGTCAGTAAAGGTCTGACTTATAAAAGAAAAAAGGGAGGACTCTCTGGTGGTGCAGGGGTTAAAGTCTCAGCGCTATCAAGCTATTGCCAGTCACTTGGCATGTGTTTGATCCCAGCCAGGGAGCTGACCCACATGGCACACAGACCTCTCTGGTCTCCCTACTGCTCCCCTCAGCAATGCATTTCAGTAAATCCACCTGTTCTGCTCCCCACTCTGTCTCTGGTGAATCCTCTCACCCCCTGCACCTCTGGCCTACAACCCAGTTCCTGTATGCATAAATAAATAAAAATAAATCTTTAAAAAAAAAACAGAAAAGAAAAAGGGGAAAATGATACTGAATGCTTGCCATGAGAAAAGGCAGGGTGTAGGCAATTGTTTTAAGCCACACTTACAAACATACATCTGTAATGTAGGATATTAAAATGAAAGTTGAAAAGCAATTTTGAGTAAGGCAAAGGACTTACCTTTGAAGAATGAACTCTGCTTGCTGTTCAGAGATAGTGAGGCCCAGTAATTGGAGAGACTGGACAATTTCTGAAGCTTCAATTTTTCCTTTAAATTAAAAGAAAATAAAGAGATTCAGAACTATTAAGGACCTTGAAATCATGAATTTCAAATTGCTGACTTTATAAAAGGATACTCTGAATTGATGAAGGCATAATTATGAATTTAGGTAAGTTGAAGATTTGCTTAAAAACACACAACCAACTCAAAATTTAACAAACACCAACACATTAAACAAGTACACAACATTACCTAATCCATAAATCGTAACAGCCTTTATTCCATGAAAAGAAGACCCTGGAAGCCCACAAGATCTTACCAAATAACATTAATAAGAACCAGAACTGAGATTCAAATCAAGATACTCTGACATTGAGGCAAATTCAACTAAACAAGGCTCTATTCATTTTTAAATTAAATATATTAATTTCTACATTTCAGTAAATCAGAAGGCATTTATAATGCATAATGATGTATTGTACTGGGTTAAAAGGGTACAGGGAAAATACTAAAGAAGACATGGTATGAATTATTCTTTTGAGAAATTTAGCGATAAAAATGAAGAGCAGGAATGGTAGGATGATGGAAGAGAGAACATAATTATTTGAGAAGGTAGCAATGCATTTCCCTGACACAGCAGACACATCAGGATCTAAAGACAAAAGAAAGATTTCATTTAAGAAAAAGGCTTAAAAGAAATGACAGCATTTGGAAACATTCGCTTGAGAAGAAAGGAGAATGTGGACAATGTAAGGACAATTAGAGGCATCCATCTATTTTTGTTAGCAATGAAATTCCTTAAATACCACACAGTACCTTTTATAACTACACTCTTAAATAAGACCTACAGTTGATCCTCATTAGACACAATAGTTATATTCTATAAGGTCACTGTGAATAAATTAGCAAAAAATGAATCATTGTTCCTATGGGAAATACAAGGTTAGAGTCCTGTGAGCCTCCAGGTCATACATTTTCATTAACCTATCATTACACCACCTTGTTTCATGTCTGTTTCTGTATAAAGACACTTTAATCTATACAGTTGATACATTAACAGGCATGACAAAGAGCACTGAAGCTCCTGTGTTAGCTAAGCCTGAATGAAGCTTAGCTAACACACATTTTTCCCTTAGAAATGTCAGACTGTGGGGTCTCCCTGGTGGCACAAGGGGTTAAGAGTCAGCACTAAGAAGCTATCAGCAACTACCGCAGCAGGAACTGGCCAGGAAGCTGACCCACAGGGTGCAGCAGACCTCTCCTGTCTCACCCACTGCTCCCCTTAGCAGTGTATTTCAGTAGATCCGCCTGTTCTGATCCACACTCTGCCTCTGGTGAATCCTCTCACCCCACACCTATGGCCTACACCCAGTTCCTCTACACAAAAATAAATAAATTTGTTTTAAAAATTCAACTTTTAAAAAAAAATCTATATAAACCCCTAGCCCTCACACCTCAGGCTTTCTCTTAAAAGAAATGCCCAGAGAGATCTCCCCAGATTCTCTTTCTTTGCTCTTTCACTAATCAATAAATGCTGACTCCTTGCCTAGCCTCACCGGTGTCTGTGTGGGGTCCTCTTTTCATTCTTGACCAGTGTATTTGAAGAGCTGCTTCCCAGCTTAGGAGCAGCTCTTCCCTCTGACCCCCATCCCCACCCACCCCTCTTAGTCCCAGCAGGCAAAGCAGTATGCAGTGGCTGGTTTGCTCCCAGCTATGTGCCTATGATATTGGAGGTTGGGATAAGGCTGAGACACCCCAGGCCTATTCCCTAGTCCAATGACATAATTATCATTTTTAAAAAAAGACAGACTAAATATGCATTCACTCTTGGAAGCATGAAAAATGCTTCTTCAAAACTGGTGCTATATAGGAAAGAAAAACATACCATCATTATTTTTATCCAAAGTTTTAAATGCCAATTTCATCTTTTTCTCATGGTCTTTAAGGTACTTCATAAACTCTTCAAAATCCAGCTTCCCATCTTTGTTGATATCACCAGTAGTAAAAATTTTCTATAAAAAAAGAAATAATCATGTAAGAAAATAAATGAATAATAAAAAATTTAAATAACAGATATTTTATTAACTAAAACACTGCATTATTGGTACATAAACTTCAAACAGATTGGCTGTTTTCCTATAAAAAATTAAATACCAATTTTAGATCAAATATATCATTATTCAGTATGTAAAGATCAGTAATAAAAGTCACTATTCCCCTGCAAAAAAAAAATTCAGGTCTTCAGTTAAATTTTTCTTAGACAAATGGTGCATTGATTTCTACAAAATATGACATTTTTTTAAAAATTTATTTATTTATTTATACAAGCACTGGGTACAGTCAGAAGCACGGGAGGGTGAGAGAATTCACCAGAGACAGAGCGGGGAACAGAACAGGCAGAATGACGAAGTACACTGCTGAGGGGAGCAGCGGGCAGCAGGAGAGGTCTGTGCGCCATGTGGGACCCTCGCTGGCAGCCAAGGATCGAACCAGCGCTGCAGAGGCTGCGGGCAGCTTTGCAGCCCAGTGCTCAACCGCTGCGCCACCAGGGGAGGCCCCCAAATATGACATTTTTAACTACTGTAATCACACCCTAAATTTCTTGACATGTATTTTATAAATACAGATAGACGACACTTAACCTAACATAGTATTTAAATGTCTAAAATAGTGTTTTTTCCTTTTGACTTTCAAAATTATCCTTTTTTCTAAGGTGATGCTCAATTTTAAAAAGCTGTCCTATCAAACTATAACTAATAATGGAAGTTATTGTTTTTGAGGGAAAAAAATTGAGTTTTGATAGTACATGTAAACTCTCTTCCACTATCACACAGAATATAAACTTTCTGTCTATTAAGACACTGGCAATCACCCACCCAAAGATTATAAACTCTATTGGTTTTTGAGTCATGCTATTCAGGGAAAATTATACCTTCTTATGGCAGGACGTTACAGTAAATCCTCATTTAAGTTGACAGTTTCTTGGAAACAACTTACATATATGGTTGTGTAATAAAACCAGGTACTTAAGTAGAATAAAGTCATTTTGTTCAATATCTGCTGGGATTGTTTTTTCCCCATAAATGTACCAAAACAACCTTGAATGGAAACAAGGTATTGGAGGACCTACTCTCTGAGTCCAAGTCCTGGACTGAGAAAAAAGGTCTGAACCTCATGAGCTGCAACAAAAACCTAAGGGAAATTTATGGTTTAAGTGCATGATTCGAGAAGAATCACTGAAACTCAATCTCAAGAAATTAGAAATAAAAGCCAAAAGAAAGTTGAAGAAAGCAAAGCTAGTAACAAGAAAGATCTATTGTTGAGAGAATCAAAAAAAGCAAAAGGTGACCTTTCAAACCAATAAAATTGACAAACCCCTGAAATAGTAAATAATCACTCAGAAAGTAAAGATGAAGCCCACGAGACACCATAATATATTTAATGTTAAATAAATATATTATGAATCAGATAAAATTGATGAATCAAGATAAAACAGACAAGAGTCTAAAAGAAATAACTTACTAAAAATTTCATGTCACTAGACAAGCTAGGTAGTCCTGTCAGTATTGAATAAACTTAATTTGTAATTTTAAAACATTCCCAAGAGAGAAAATTACAAGCAATGTCATCAGTGAAAACACATGCAAAATTCTTAAATAACATGTTAGCAAATCTAATCTAGCAATATATTAAGAAGGATAGTGTGTGTATGTATATAAAATAAATAATATAAATGTATTCCAGTAATGACAGGTTCATTTTTTCAAACTCTTATTGAATATACATTAACAAAATAAAAGGGAAAAGTGGTATTCTCTTACATGCAACATAGCCTAATTAAAATACCATAAATTATTACTTACATTTTCTTTGTCACTGGAAATAATTATTGCTAATTACTTTTACAAATTAATAATTTACAACTGTAAATTACTTCCTGAGTATTCAACATTGGTACCAATGTGCATAATCCATAAGGAAATGTCACAGCATTCCAAGACCCCATCAGTATACTGAAATTTCATCTCAAAGACTTGTATTTTGTTTAAAAATAGATGTTCCATATGATCCAGCAATTCCATTTCTAGGTATCTACCCAAATAATACAAAAATAGTAATTGAAAGGTTACATGCAATCCTGTGTCAACTGCAGCACTATTTATAACAGTCAAGCTATGCAAACAATCCAAGTGCCCAAGAACAGATGAGTAAAGAAGACATGGTCCATATACACAATGGAATACTACTCAGCTATGAACAAGAAAATGAAACCTTGTTATTTGTGACAACTGGGTAGAGCTGGAAGGGACCATGTTGAGGACGTGGCCAAACTGGGAGGACATAGAATTCCAGTTGTTCTTCTACGTCAATGGGTAATATACCTCAGTTCCTAACCCACTGCAAGAAACTCAATAGGAGCCCACTCTTGCTTTTTTTTCCCCCAGAATCTTCCAGAAGACCTCTGCACAGGATTCCAAAGGTAAATTACTTTTTAAAGAAAAGTGGACAGAGGAGCATTAGGACAGATTCTGTGTGGTCAAAATAACTGGTGGTAGAGGTCCAAAAGGTTTTAAAAGTTGCTCGGTCACATTTTTCTAAGAATTCTTATATGGTTGATGCAATTCAGAAAAACTGAGAAGCTAAGGAAGATCTGCCCACCTGGGCTGCTACAAATGCCAGGGCCCCAGCTGTAGCTTTACAAATGTTGGCATCACACTGGGGAGGACAGTCTCAAATGAGCAGGAGTTAAGTCTGCTGGGGCTCCAGAGAGGGCCAGGATATGTTGATAATGCCAATGGCTTCTCACCCTAATATCTAGAACCAGTGTGGACTCTGGCTTCCCTGAATGTTACCTATGGTGCCTCATCCTGTGCCATTAGAAATATGGAGGTGCAATTTCACAGTAAAAGTTCCATTTTTATATCATTTATTTTACTAAATATGGAGTGCTCTTTTAAAAGTTAAATATTGATGTTCATGTGGATCAACAAGACTTCTCATTCACTGCTGGTGGGAATGCGAAATGGCATAGTCATTTTGGAAGATAACTTTGGCAGCTTCTTACAAACTAAACAGACTCGTATTATATCATCTAGCAATCATGCACCCAGCCATTTACCCGAAAGAGCTGAAAACTTAAGTCCACAGAAAAACCTGCATGTGGGTGTTATAACATCTTTAGTCATAATTGCCAAAACATGAAAGCAACCCAAGATGTCACTCAAAAGGTGAGTGAATAAACTGGGGCACACCCAAATATTATTCAGTACTAAAAACATGCTCTGAAGCCATGAAAAGACATGGATGAAACTCAAATGCATATTACTAAGTGTAAGAATCCAATCTGAAAAGGCCACACACTGTGTGACTCCAGCTATGTGGCATTCTATGGAAAATCTATGGAGACAATACACAAGTCGTGGTTGCCAGGGGGTTGGAGGGGTAGGTGGAAGGGTGAACAAGCAGAGCAGAGAGGACTTTCCCGGGCAGTGAGAAAACTCTGTATGATGCTACAAAGATGTACCTATACATTTGTTCAAACTCACAAACAGACAACATCAGGGGTGTGTCCTATATGAACTATGGACACTGGGTGATTGTGCTGTGTCAAGGTAGGTTCGTCACTCTGCTGCCAGGATTGATATTGGGAGGCTATGTATGTGTGGAGGCAAAGAGGACAGGGAAAATCTGTGTACCTTCCTCTTAATTTTGCTGTGAATCTAAAATTGCTCTAAAATATTCTTTCCTGAAAATTCATAAAGGAAATGTAATCTAGTCATTGGCTAGTCGATCCTTGCTCTATTCACTTAAGATGTCAAGTAATGACAACATAAAGAAAACCATCACATGTCCTTGAAATACCCATGGGGTTCCTTTTAGGAGGAGGCTGTACTACGGTTAATTCTGAGTTCTTAGCGTTGACTTCGCAATAAACACCTCCCCCCAGAGCTGTTGGGTGGTGGCAATGTCTAATGCTGTTTCACAAGAGGTCCTTTGGCCCAGTCAAGAATGACTTCTCTAAATGAACACAAAAATATAACTTTCTATACCAGAGAGACTTATCCTTGTTCTGTCTAAAGAAGTATGCTTGAAAATTTCAAATATCCTGCCTCTTTCTCAAAATGTTAGCCTCATACGTGGAACATGATGGAAAGCTGTCTTTTTATAAAAACTTTCAACTTTCTTATTTCTCAAAGTTGAGATATTTACATACAGTAAAAGGTGCATATTTTAAATGTATAATTCAGTAAGTTTTGACAAATATTTATATCCATGTAAATGCCATCCCAATTAATACAGTGAACATTTTTCACCCCTACCCCCCCAAAAAGAATGAATTCTCCCACAACAGGGAATTTTTACAATGCACAGGGAATGGTCTCTCCCTGCATGCTGCAAAGGATACAAATAGCGGCCAAGAGTTATAGAAGACAAACAGGGCACAAGTGTCCATAAGGCCAAGTAGAAAAGGCAGAAGTCAAGGCAAAGCTAGTAAGACAGACAGACTGATAGCACAGATCTAATGGGAGAAAGCAAAACATCCAGTTGATACTCTCATCTACTGAAAAGGCAACTACTTTTGCTGAATTGTTCTTTCTACTTTTTGAAATCACCCTGTTCATTATTTACTTATGATTTATTACCCAACACACAGAGACCTCCTCTAGGGAAAGTTTGGGGGACATAGTTGAAGGGTCCCTGTTGGTCTACTTCACTGCTATATTCTCAGCTCATTGAGTAGTGCCTGGTGGTGCACAGAACATCAACCGAATGAACTTAATATTTGTGTTAAGCTATTGAGTAGCTCTTACCACTCCTAGCTTACTTTTGAGCTTTCCAGTCAGTAAATAGCTCCCCCAAGGCCACAAGTCCAGCAAATAATGAAAACATGTGAACAGTGGCCTGATTCCACAGTACACAATAGCCACTACACATACGTTGCCCTAGTTAACATCATAGAAATGATGGTCCACGTTTCAGATAATGCCCTCAAACTTTCTCAGCAAGTTCG